GCTGAGCCACAGTCTTTTTTCTATACCTCTGGGATTCAAAAAGTTCTGCGAATGAAAGTGTTTCTTTCCCCAAAGTTTGAGGCAAACTCCCTTGGCAGTACAACTTGACCTGAACTGATATAAGATTATTTATAGCCTTTATTCATTCTCCTACTATGAATATTCAGACATTTCACTGCAAAAATATTAATGTGCTGATTGCAGAGTGCTGCACCAGCCCTCACTTGCAGAGTTACAAACTGTATAGTACAGGAACTGAGTCACCTTTTGCTATGGTCTGAATGTCCCCCAATTCATGTGTTGAAACGTAATCGCCAATGTGAGAGTATTAAGAGGTGGGGCCTTTCCGGCTTCAGGGAACCACCTAGACCTTTTGCCCTTTGGCCCTGCACCATGTCAGATGTAGCAACAGGGGCCCTCCCCAGACACCAACTCTGCTGTGTCTTCATCTTGGACTTCCCAGCCTCCAGAACTGTGAGAAACAAATCCCTACTCTTTATAAATTACCCAGTCTGTGGTATTTCATTCTAGCAGCAGGAACAAACTAAGACACCTTTCTAAATCTGAAAAATTCTGAATTATTTAATAAAATCCTGCCTGGCTGTAGAGATTTTGCCTAAAAGATTATATAGTCCCAAATTCTGCATCAATTGATTTATTTGCAGGTGAAAGTAACCAATAATCCAACTCAAATTGGCTTAAATAGTAAAAAAATGCACTGGCTCATGTAACTAAAAAGTCTAGCATAGAATTATCAGTATTAAAGCCTGACATTCTCTCTCCCCAGTTTTCTTGCCCCTAGCCTCCTCCCTTTGTTGGCTTTGTCCTAGGTTATCTTTACTCATTGTAGCAAAAATGTCTGCAGTAGTCCCAGGCTCACAGGGCACCCCACAGGGCTCAGAGGAAAGAGAATACCTTCCTCCTGGCACTCCACAAAACAGTCCCATGGCCACATCTGAGTGGCCACACTTGGTGTGCTGGGGGGCAGGGTGAAGGGTAAGTTGTGCTGATCATCTTTGCCTAGGCAAGTATGCTACCTCTAGGGCTCGGATGTTAGTTGATCTAAAACCACATTGGTCTCCATACAAAAATTAGGCACAATTGGGAAGGAGAAAGGAAAAATGGATGTTGTAGAGGTAACAACCACCTCATCTCCTTTTAATATTCAACACACTCCCAAACATGTTAAAGAGATGCAATACCTGGTGGACTTCACTCAATTCAAACCTTATCCCCAGTGGTGAGCAAGGATTCTGCTTTCTTTCTATCCTTAGCTTTCTACCCTCCTTCATGATCCTACACAGTTTCCCATGTGCTTATCTTATAGTATTAATATTTATTATATTCTACTTTGTATCAATCATTTGTGTAACTACCGTCTAACTCACTGAACTCTAGGCTCCTTTGGGTGGGGTCTCGCTTGGTTCTGTGTCTCCCTCAACGCTCGGTAGATGTCTTGCAACACTAAACACCCCAGATGTGCTGGCGGAGTCAGGTCTGTTCCTCACTGTCGCGGCCCATTCACAGGACGGAGGATGAACACAGAACAAAAAACACAAATGCAGAACACAAAGAAAAATGCAGACACACATACAAACGGTTGACTCGAGTAATAATACACCGGGTCAGTTTTATTTTTATACTCTAAAAGATTAAAGTTAGTTCTTTGTATGTAACTGCCCAGGCATTGCAGCAATGGCCATAAATTCTGGAATATGTAGCCTTAGGGGAGCAGATATCCCCTGGCTCAAGGTTTCCAGGTGGTTGCTCTAGGCACTAGGCATAGATAAAGGACCGAGATTAACAAGGATGGGCAGGGTGAGCCACAGGGGGCATTTCTCATCCCCAGCTTCTCTTACGGTGACCCTCTAAGATCTTCGGCTGAACCCCAGTGGTTGTGCATGGCTTGGGTCGCTCCTCTTCTTGAGGGGTCTTACCCGTCATTGACTAACCAGCCATCTTATGGAGTGTACGCAGCAATCACAGGAACAATATATTTATCGTGTGGCCTCCAGACCCCCAATGCCGTGGGGCGGGATCGCTCTTGCTACTAGCAGCTCAGGTCCTTTGTTATGCCTCTAGGCAACACCTTTGTTTATCACAGGGAGCCTGTCCAGAACACATTACTTTCAAACACTCTGGGCAGAACACGTACATTATTCACTAACTTTAATTCTTAAACTAGGAAAATATATGTCAGTCCCCTACACTCACCTCAGTGGAGAGAACCCAGCAAAGCAGGGAGGTTGGGGCAGAGATGGAGTGGGAGTCTTGTTCTCCTTTCATGTTTTTCATGGGAAAATTACCCCTAAAAGCACCACACTTACCACACTAAGGCAAAGTGATTTAAGGAACAAGAAACAGAAAACCCAAATTGAACTGCCTTGAACAATAAAGCTGAGACATTGGCTCACAAGCTGGAAATTCTTGAGCCAGGGCAGGCTTCAGAATTGATTGAAGGAGCTGGAGCTCAAGAGTATCAATATGGACCCAGTTTCTTTCATCTCCCTTCCCAAGACTAGCTTCCTCATGGTGGGCAAGTGGCTGCAGCAGCTCCAGGCATCTCGTTTATATACCACACTGTCTAGAATGCTTACACTGAGAGATGGCAGGGGAGAATGACTATGCTGCTTGGTGGAAGCCAGATAAGACTCATCTTTGGAAACAGGGGTGGGTCAGCCTTTCCCTAAGAAGTGCATGGCATGTTAGTTTGCTAGGACTGCTGTGACAAAGACTGCAAACTGGGTGGCTTAAACATCAGAATGATCACCTCATAGTTCTGGAGGCTACAAGTCCAAAATCAGGATGCTGGCAGGGTTTGTTCCTTCTGAGGGCTGTGAGGGAAGGATCAGCCCCAGGCCGCTCTCTTGGCTTGTAATGGCCATCCTTTCCCAGGGTCTCCGCACATCCCCTCTCTCCATGCATGGCTGTCTCTGGGTCCAGATTCCCCCTTTCATAAGGACACCAGTCACACTGGATCAGGGCCCAACCTACTCCAGTGTGACCGCATCATCACTTAATTAATTACACCTGCAACGGCCTTACTTTTAAATGAAGGCACATTCCGAGGTCCCGAGGGTTAGGCCACAGCTCAACCCTAACACAAGGTGTAGGAGCGGGCGGCTAAGTGGAGGTCGGGTTCTCCGGGGAGAAGAAACGAGGGAATGGACGCCGCGTCCGCAATGGCAGAGGGCTCAGCAACGATCTTTTCCTACGATAAAAGAGCACAGGCGAGGCTTCTCAGGGCAGCTGCCGTGGAAAGTCACTCTCCTCCCACAGCGGGCAGGCGCGGACCACCGCACCGACTCCGAGGCCGCCGGCGCTCTCCCGAACCGGCCTGGGCGGCGCCGAGGCCTCCCGCAGTGAGCGCCGCCCTCTTATGCGCGCCTGCCTGCTGGGAGATAAGACTTCACTTGGAGAGGAAGGGCTCCACGAGATGTGTGCTGAAAACGCCCAGAACTGAGGGTCCGAGGACGCCTGCCGTCCCAGGCTTTTCCCTCCCCGGCAACACCAGCGCAGGACGGCGCAGGCCGCACTTCCGCCCCGCCGCCTGGGGCCGGACACGCCGGGGCGGGTGCGCAGGCGCGTGAGGTGCTGTCCACACCCTCGCCCCGCCCTGCCCTGCCCCGCCCCGCCTCCGCCTCGCCTCACTCCGCCCCGCCTCCACCTCGCCCCACCCCGCCTCCACCTCGCCCCACCCCGCCTCCGCCTCGACCCGCCCCATCCCACTTCGGCCCCGCCTCTGCCTCTGCCCCGCCTCGCCTCACTCCGCCCCACCCTGCCTCCGCCTCGCCCCGCCCCGCCTCACTCCGCCCCGCCCCATCCCACTTCTGCCCCGCCTCCGCCTCGCCCCGCCCCATCCCACTTCTGCCCCGCCTCTGCCCCGCCCCGCCTCCGCCTCGCCTCACTCCGCCCCGCCCCATCCCACTTCTGCCCCGCCTCTGCCCCGCCTCGCCTCACTCCGCCCCGCCTCCGCCTCGCCTCACTCCGCCCCACCCCGCCTCCGCCTCGCCCCGCCCCATCCCACTTCTGCCCCGCCCCCGCCTCGCCCCGCCCCCCTCCGTGGCAGGGATGGGCGGGCGGGGCAGGAAGTCCCAGGAGGGCCTGAGCCGGGACAGGAAGGGCGCAGGACGGTCGGAGGAGCGGCTCCATTTGGAGCCCGAGCTGCGCAGAGCGTCCTGTTGGGAAAAGCACTGCTGAGACCCGGGATAGCACAGTCCTGCTTCTTCCTGCTGCGGAGGCCGAGACCAGCTCTGGGCGGAACTTGTGTTGGGTACATGGCCCCTTGCATTTTGTTTTGTTTTTTAACGGCTTCATTGAGGTATGACTGACACACAACAAAGTGTGCATATTTGAAGTATATAATTTGATAATTTTTGATACACGCATACAGCTGTGACACTGTCACCATAATCAAGATAATGAGTAGGTCCATCACCCCAGAAAGTCCCCTCCCCTCCTTCCTTCCTCCCACCCCACCTCTCTCCTCAGGCAGCTGCTGATCTGCTGTCTGTCCCTGCGGATTAGTTTGCTGCTGCTGCTTATTTAAAAATTTATTTAAACAGTTCATTTTTCTTAATGATAGGAATGTTTTTTTAGTAAATTCGAACAACTTTATAACAGGAAATGATAAGCTGGAGCTAGAAAAGTTAACATAGCATTATCTTGAAATTTCAGGGGGAAAAGTAGTTGATGTGAACTTCACTTTTTTTAACCCAATAATGTTAAAATAAGCAAATTCTGAATAGAAAACTGTACTTAGTTCTTTCATATTTCAAATGTAAAAGTATTTTAGTAGAGAAAATTCCATTTTCCACATCTATTTAGATGGAATTATAGTAAAAGGTGGAATGTGGATTGCAGAAGGTAGCTAGTGAAAACATTAAATAATGTAAATTTAAGAATAAATTAGCTTTCCAAATGAAATAAAATCAATCACATAAATTCAACATGCTTATGGTGACTAAAGCAAAAACAAAAGAAGAATATGATAGTTTTTAGTTTCTTGTTTGGCACACATATTAATACATTTTCGAACATCAAACAATATAACACCAATATCTACTAAAACCAACTAGCACAATAATACAATTCCTTAAGTTTAGTTAATTATTAACATTTAAAAAATCTAATTCCCATATGAATTCTGTAGCCAAGCAAATCCTTTGTGCTGTGCAAGCTGGCCAAAGCACCACCTTTTTCAGGATTTCCCAGAATTCATAAGTATTTCAACATTAAGACATGTTGAACCCCACAATTCCTTATTGAATTTGGTGAGTCTTCTGGACAGGCCTTCATTTATGAGAACATATGCACACACTCATCACAATTTTGAAAAGAATGGAAGGCCTTCATACATGTCAGTTTTTAATTTTATCCATTCATTAATTTTCTGCAGAGTTGTTTTTTCTTGACTTAATATTTTTGCAACTTTTTTCATCCTTTGTTCATTTCTTTCTATGTACTTCAACCCTTGTAACTGCAGCTGATCCAGTTTTTCATTTCGACTTTTATCTAGAGGTATGTTTTCACACATTACAGGATTGAATCTAAAATAGGTGTCAGGAGGTAACAGACCATCAGGCGTTATATGGACTTCTTCTGTATCTGTAGCACTGTTGGTAATGTTAGGAAGTTTGGTTTTCAAGCTTGTGTGTGTCACGGTGTTTCTCACGTCACTGTCATAGCATCCAGTGCCCAGGGATACTATGAACTCTAATGGGACATCAGGCCAAAGACAGCTACACTCACGCATTGCCAGGGCCAAAGGGCTATTCAAAAGCAAACCTCCCTCTTGATGAAGACCATTCCCAATGCATATTCTGCAAAGCAGCCTGAGCAGCAGACGGGGCTCTAATGGCCTGCCACATTTTATACTGACAGCCTCCCAAATAATGAGAGTGGATTCCTGGAAAATGACCATAGTTTCTGAACACAAAAGCTTTTGGCATCATCCTTCTGTTTATTGTGGTACTTACAGCATCTACGTTAGGCCATGTGGGATTCCTTGCCGTTTGTTTCAGTCATCAGTGCAGATCCCATTCTATCCTTAAGAACCCTTTCCCATGTTTGACTGTCATAAAATGCATGGCTCCAACTCATTTTGACGGCTCCAACAACATTAAACAAGCCATCAAATCTCTGAAAAAATATAGTGATAAACTGGCAGAGAAGAATCTTTCTCCACAAGATCTTCCTCTCTATAGATAAAGAAGAAGATACAGGTAAACAAAGTCTTTTCATTACATGAGTTCTATAACCACAAAATTTGGAGAATCATTCTACTTTTTTTCAAATCATATTAATTCATATTTCAAATGTGAGGAAAAAATGTCTCAAAAAAAGGAAAATCAACATGTGCTGGACAAATCAGAACTTGAAGGTAAAAATGTTGAAGAAGGGGAAGCAGTTCTCCAGACCCTGCCATCTTGACTGACAAGCCGGCTCAGAATCTTCTTTAGATCCTGAGGACAAGCCTGCAAGTCCCCGTGGGACACCTGAGCTTCTTCCAGTGTCTACTAAACATAGTATTGCTAACTTTCTTTCTCATCCCACCAAAGGTGTACAGGCTTTAGTAGGTGGTTATATTGGTGGACTTGTCCCCAAATTAAAGTATGATTCAAAGAGTCAGTCAGAAGAACAGGAAGAACCTACTAAAACTGAGCAGACTATCAGCAAAGACAAAAGTGCAGAGGAGAAAAAGCGTTTATCTCTTTAGCGAGAAAAGATTATTGCAAGAGTGAGTATTGATAACAGAACCTGGGCATTAGTTAGGGCATTAAGAAGAACAGCTGACCCAAAGCTCTGCATTACTAGGGTTGAAGAATTGACTTTTCATCTTCTAGAATTTCCTGAAGGAAAAGGAGTGGCTGTCAAGAAAAGAATTATTCCATGTTTATTACGACTGAGACAAATTAAGGATGAGACTCCTCAGGCTGCAGTTAGAGAAATTTTGGCCTTAATTGGTTATGTGGATCCAGTGTAAGTGAGAGGAATCGAATTCTTACAGTTGATGGTGGAGGTACAAGGGGTGTGGTTGCTCTTCAGACACTATGGAAATTAGTTGAACTTACTCAGAAGCCAGTGCATCAGCTCTTTGATTACATCTGTGGTGTAAGCACAGGTGCCATATTAGCTTTCATGCTGGGATTGTTTCATATGCCCTTGGATGAATGTGAGGAACTTTATCAAAAATTAGGATCAGATGTGTTTTCACAAAGTTTGCTTCTTCTTGACTTCTCAATCAACAGAACCCTACTGTATGTGCTCTTCTTGGGGTCTGGTTTCTTCACTGAGTAGAACTGAGATCTGCATATGATGTCGTGTGCATCAGTGGCTTATTTCTTTTTGTTGTTGAGTAGCAGTGCATGGTCTGCATGTCCACTGATCACAGGTGTTCATCCATCCACCTGTGGGTGGACTGTTCATGTGTCCGCCTGTGGGTGGACCGTTAATGCATCCGCCTGTGGGTGCACTGTTCATGCATCTGCCTGTGGGTGGACGTTTGGGTTGTTTTCAGCTTCCAGCTTTTTTATAAATCAAGTTGTGGTGAACATGCATGTGAAAGTCTTCAGGCGTGAGGCATGTAGTTTGATGGTAGCACATCCGTCTGGAGGGGCTGGTTCACTCTCTGTGTGCAGCTGTGTGGGACCACACTGAGATGCTCTAGGGCAGTGGTCCCCAGCCTTTTTGGCACCAGGGACTGGTTTCATGGAAGACAATTTTTCCACAGGCGGAGGGGGTGACGATTTGGGGATGATTCAAGTGCATCACATTTATTGTGCAATCAAACCTCCCTGCTGATGATGATCTATATTTGCAGCTGCTCCCCAGCACTAGCATCACCGCTCAGCTCCACCTCGGATCAGCAGGCATTGGATTCTCATAAGGAGCCACAACCTAGACCCCTCGCACGCACGCACGGTTTGCAGAAGGGTTCTGGCTCCTACAAGACTCTCATGCTGCCACTGACCTGACAGGAGGCGGGCTCAGGTGGAGATGCGGCCGATGGGGACGGCTGTAAACACAGATGGAGCTTCACTTGCTCACCTGCCACTCGCCTCCTGCTGTGCGGCCAGGTTCCTAACAGACCACAGTCTGCAGCCTGAGGGTGGAGGACCGCAGCTCTAGGGGATGAGTGGTTCTGGCAGACCCCAGGCGTGTGCCTGGCAGAGGCTGGCCTGCTGCAGCTGCCATCTCTGGGGTCCTCTTCCTCAGGGGTCTTTCTTGGCTCTGTTTTGCTCACCTTCCTTCCCCAACCCTTTCTGCTGTCATAACTAGTGACTAGACGAGACGAGTCATCCAGAGAAGAAGGGACTCTAAAAGGATCCAAGATTTATTTTCTTAAATTCCACCCTAAATCCTCCATTATCACCAAGCAAACCAGCTGGCTTACACAAAACCACCTTCGGACCCAGGCAAGAGGGACCACTGTCTCTGATCCTGTGACTGGAGGTTCCCCTTGGGCCTCTTCCAACCACATCCACTCCACCGCACAAAGAGCCCACCCAAAGCCTGAGCTCCATCACCCAACCCTGCCCACACTCTCCATGCCTGGGGCCCTAGAATGGCTGGCCCAGATGACCTCTGCCCACTTCTAGGATGTCCATGGCTGTTCTCCAGATCTGAGTTGCGTGAAGGGTGGACAGCTGTGTGCAGAGGGTGTGGATGGAGTTTGCATGTGTCCATGAGTGTATCCTCATCTATGTGCACACGTGTGGATACTCCAGCATACAAGGCCCCCTGCAGTGTGTGTTGGAGCCAGGAGTTAGAAGGGCAGGGGCATGGGCCAGCTCTTCCCATGTTCCCTGCATGGAACTCAAAGGAGATCACGAGTTTTAAACTGAAGCCTGGCCTGCAGGCTGTTGGGAAGGCCTATTTCTTACGTAGGAGGCTACAGCATATTTCACTTCACAATGCTTTCGCTTGACTCACAGCTTTTACGTCTTTAGACGTTTGGTGCATGGTCTCCATATGTGCTCTTGCTCCGGGCCCTGAAAACATTAGGGGTGGCCCGAGACAGCCCTCCCTCCTCCTGCAGCATGTAGTTTTCATGTTATATGCCAGCTTTTTATGCTTTACTTTTCCTTCCTGAGCTATTCTTGATGCTCATTTAAATCTTTTTCCAACAGCATAAATAATAAGAGAAACAAATGTGCGTTGGGTGTGGGAGGAAGGATGCACACACTCAGCGATCTGCCCTGAGCCTGCACACGAGGAGACCAGGCTCTGTGCAACTGCGGAGTGAGCAGTTCATGTTTCTTATCAAGATTATGGAAAACAGGGTAGACTCCCTGCTTTGAAGTTGGGCAGCTTGGTTTCCCACTAAAAAGCTAACCCAAGCGCTACTGTGGAAGAGTGATTGCAAAACAGCTCTAATTCTCCACTCCTCCCAAAGCAATATGACTTTGTGGCTCCTCTCCTCCCTTGGAGAGATGGAGTGTGTCCCCTTTCCCTTTGGATCTGGGCTGCACAGGTGACTTACTTTGACAGACAGAATGTCCTGGAAGGGACAATGTACCAAGCCCAATCCTAGGCCTCTGGAGGCTTTGTGTGCTTTTACTCTGTCCCTGACCCGTGCTTCTGCCCTCAGAATCAGGCTGGGCTGGACTGCCACACAACAGGCCACATGGCGCAGAGCCTGGACCACCCCAACCAAGGCCAGCGCCAGCCCGATGGCCCGCTGCCCAGAGATGCATGCATGACCTCAGCTGGCACTCTGCTTGGCCAGGTCAGCAGAACCACCCATCCTACGTGGACTTGGGAATGCTGGAAAATCAGTAACTTCAGATTTCATCAAACTGTCTTTCATGAAACCTTACCCTGTACGGTGTTCTGTAAAATAAGAAATGCTTTCCTATAAGTTCAGAAATTCTAGGTTAACCTGGTTAAACAAAATTAAGTCTGTTTCTTTCCTTTGGGATTTCTCAGAACTTTTAATACAGAGCTATCTAATCAGTATGCTTATGTGATCAATGCCAGCATGACAAAACCCATGTCAGATCTACCGGCAAAATCATAGCCAAAAAAAAAAAAGTAAAAGTAACTAATTAGACCCTGAAATGTGCATTACTTGAAATGTAGATTAAACTGCATGATAATTTCTTTCTTCCTCAACCTTGTCCTGTTGACATGGACAAGTTATCAAAATGAAGCAATGATGCAAAAAACACAGGCAACAAAAGTAAAAATAGATAAGTTGGATTAATCAAAATTTAAAACTTTTGTGCATCAAAGGACACAATCAACAAAATGAAAAGGAAACCTACAGAATGGGAGAAAATATTTGTAATACATATCTGTATACTGCAATATACATATCCAGAATATATAAAGAACTCCTAGAACTTAACAACAGCAACAGCAAAACCCCCAAGTAACTCAATTTTAAAATGGGCAAAGGACTTGAATAGACATTTCTGAAGAAGAGATATACAAATAGCCAAAAACCATATGAAAAATGCTTAATATTACTAGTCATTAAGGAAATGCAAATCAAAATGACAATGAGATATCACCTCACATCTGTTAGTACGGCTACTATTGAAATAAAGAGGGAGAGAGAGAAAGGAAGGAAGGAAGGAAGGAAGGAAGGAAGGAAGGAAGGAAGGAAGGAAGGAAGGAGAGGAAGGGAGGAAAGAAAAATAACAAATGTTGGCAAGGATTTGTAAGAATCGGAACCCTTGTGCACTATTGGCAAAATGTAAAATGGTATAGCCACTGTGGAAAACAGTATGATGTTTTCTAAAAAAAATTAAAAATAGGATTACCATATGGTCCAGCAATTCCAATTTGGGGTATATAACAACAACAAAAAAAAACTGAAAGCAGGGACTCGAAGAGATATTTGTATACTCATGTTCATAGCAGCATTATTCACAATGGCCAAAAGTGGAAGTAACATCTGGACAAAATTTGGTACCTATATACAATGGATTATCATTCAGCCTTAAGAAGGAAGGGATTCTGACATGCTACAACATGGATGAACCTTGAGGAAATTATGTTAAGTGAAATAAGCCAGTCCAAAACAAAACAAAACAAAACAATTACTGTGTGATTCCACTTTTATATGAGCTATCTAGAGTAGTCAAAACCACAGAGATGGAAAGCGGAATGGTGGTTGCAGGGACTGCAGTTAGGAGAAAATGGGGAGTTGTCATTTAAACAGTATAGAGTTTTAGTTTGGGATGATGAAAAGGTTGGGATGATGAAAAGATTGGTTGCACAACAATAAGAATATGCCTAGCATTAAAGAACTGTATAATTAAAAAATGGTTAGGATGGTAAAAATGTATATGTGTATTTTATCACCATTTTTAAAAAAGGAAAAAATGAAAGCAATGATGCCAAGCAAAGTGTGTGAGCATGTTATCTCAAAACATCTACCTCAACCAAGAAAAAAAATTAACATTCTAAGTATCTCTGAGTGTGAAATAGGAGACCCGTAACTTTAAAAGATTAGTCACAACATTATCAGATCAAACTAATCAAGAAGCTACATATAAAGTCATAGTTAATAATTAAGAGCCAAAATGCCTCATCAATTCCATAATGGCTCATTTCACCTGGCTGCCTGAATTTTCAGACCTGTGTTTGGGACCAATGAAGCAAAGGAAACAGAAAAAGGGCCAGTTTTGAGTCATGCTAATAATAACTGCATCGTGGCATTTTGGAGGCATACAGGCAAATTACTGAATCAAAACGTTTCCACTGCAGGTTGATGAATCTACAGATGT